TTGATATGAATCATGCAATATGGTTAAATATCATAATGCTTGTTGTCATGCATTGACCAATCAAAACTGAGAATTGAAGTTTGCCTGAAGATAATACTGTAGCGCCGTCGGGTCCGGCCGGTGGGGGCGCCAGCTCGGACCCGCATGGAGTTGGCTGTCTGCCCGCGCTGGTATGCAAACAGCCCGCGGTTTTCCCGCCTCGCGCTTGCGCAGTCCCTGCCGACGGGCGCCATGTTTAGAGCTTGTCGGAAGAGTACATTGTGGTGTACGCGACAGCAAATAAAACAGAGATTTCATGACCAGAACAGTGAGTTGCACCTGAGTGTCGTTCTTCACAGCGTCGAAGCCTGTTCAGCGGGACACGCTACAATACTTTTTATTCATGCATTCTCCTTACTTTGAAAACTTCAGAGCTCCATTTTAACAAACTACATGTGTACATATATAAATTAAGAGGTTCTTTTCTTTTGTTTTCAGGTGTCCTTAGCTGGGATGGCCCATGTGGGTCCCATATGAATCAGCCCACTTGTGGTTCCGTCCCAACACATGTGGGCTGGACCATTTGGAACCCATATTATTTTTTAAATGCAGACCCATATGGGTTATCTGGGCTAGCCCATGTGGGTACCATTGCCGGAAAAACAAATAAGAAAAAATTCTTGAAATGTTATGAAGGAATAGGTGCTACATGTTATGGAGGACAAGTTTCATAGTGGACACTGATTTATCTGACCCCAGTATTGTCACTTTCGTGGTGTATTACATACATGTACACATGTGAGTAGTTCACTTGAATGCTAATGAGTCTACAAACATTACTGATGCATGATGCATGTAGACGGGTGAGGTGTGTCGTGGATGGTCAGTCACATTCATGTGACTCAGCGACTTCCATTTAATCTTTCCATTACAACAGGCAAACTCCCCCAAAGGAGCTAAAGCAGTACCTATTCACAAAAGAGGTGACGCACAAGCCAATATCTGTCTTGCCTATCTTCTCCAAAATCCTGGAGAGAGCCATTTTTGATCAGCTTTATGAATATATGAATCAAACTAAATTGCTTAACAAGTATCAATCAGGTTTTTGATATTTCCCCTCAACAACTTTGATCAATGTCAATGATGACTGGCTCAGCAGCTCAAGCTCTGTTCCAAGGGGTCAGTTCTTGGTCCCCTTCTGTTCATTGTATACACCAATGACCTTCTTTACAATGTTAGCAACTGCAAGGTCAGCATGTTTGCAGATGATACAGCCCTATATTATGCCAATAAGGACGTCACTGAACTTGTTAAGGCAATTAATGCTGATCTAATTAATGTCACAAATTGGTTAAAAATAAATAAATTTAGTCTACATGTGAACAAGACAAAGATAATTTTACTGGGTGCCAAATCAAGACTTTGGAACTTGCCAGACGGCAATTTTAACATCAAACTTAACAGGATGCCATTAAATAGAATAAAGAAATGTACATGTAAATATCTTGGAGTTCTTGGAGAGAGCATATTGATCATGTATGGAGAAAGGCTATGGAGAAAGAGAATTCATGTTCTTAAGAAGGTCAAAAACATACATGTAGTCCTGTAACACTACCAACCTTCTATACAATGCTATTGTTTCATCACACTGACTGTTGTGACATAGTGTGGGGAATCTGTGGAGCCACACACCAAACTAAACTCAAAAATGTCAAAACAGAAGTACCCGTATCATGAGAAATGTTGACTAGAATGTTCTAAGTAGAGGGAATCCATGAGAATTGAATATGCCGCAGTACTTGAAAGATAAGTTTGATTTTGTCCATTCAAATTACGCATTGGGAAGTAACTTGCATGTTTCAGTGCCAAAGCCAAACACTTCTTGATAGTCATATAACAAGAAAAATTTGTGTCAATAAGAACTAAACAATTACAGATCAGAATTATCATCTTGCACAAACTATTTGAAGTTGAACTCATGGCCAGCTGAGTACTATTCTTCAGCAAGAAATAGTTTGGTGCACTGCAGTGAGCCCTATTTATTAAGTGTGTTTGGCCATGACACCTTTTGTTATTTTTTATTTTCCACCAGGGCCAGATGACCAGGCATGCATCTCTTGGTTTCAACCAAAAGAGGAAAACGTATGCGTACGACACTGCAAGTGCCCAGCACAAAGCCAATATGACGTGGGGTCAAAATTTTTAATCCTGCTCTCTGCAGTATTTTGGGCAGTTCTGACTACTTGAATTGAATTTTAGATGAATATTTTTTATTTCAAAAATATGCACCCTTGTCAAGATTTCTTATTTTACCTTTTGCATTTGAAGTATACAACATACATATTTTGATACCTGAAAATTTTCTAATTGATCCTTTTTGTTGATTTTATTTTCTCCACGAGTTAGTCTGGCTTTCTTGGCGACCTTGGCAGCAATCTGTAGAGCTCATCTTTCAGTTGTTGTGGGTTTTGAATGTTAAAGCGGGTGCTTGGTAGAGGTTTATGATTATCGAGATGCTTGACTGCTTCTTTTCTTGCGTTATGCATGTTAGCCACAAGAATCTTCTTGACTGGCTCATGAAGAAAATCTTTCTCCAAGAAGAGTGCGATAGATGGCTTGCGACCATTTCCTTCCCCAGAAAAAAAGTGGCTGGGATGAAAGTGGGATCCCAGTGAGATCCCGGTGGGATATGTTTGTCCCAACGGGATACTGCCATCCCAGCGGGGTGAAAAGCAGAATGGAAGTGGGATCCCATTTCCAGGTGGGATTGTAGTGGGATCCCAGTTGAGGTGGGATCCCAGTTGCAAGCAAAAAAGTGGGATTCCAAGTTGGGGATCCCAGTTCAATTCGGATCCCACTTCCAGGTATACAGTGGGATTCCAGTTGAGGTGAGATCCCACTTCCAAGTAAAAAAGTGGGATCCAAGTTGAGATGAAATCCAACATGGGACAGGAATCCCAGTTGACTGATATTTGTCATCCATTGTTTACGCTGACTCCAACACTTAGTTTATTAATTACACAATGAAGCTTACTGATAGTCACAGTAAAGAAGTTGGAGGATTAAGGTGAATAAAATTAAGGCCCTTTTTCTCTCCCCCCCCCCAAAAAAACAAAAAAAGATGCTTATACATGCATGAACAAGTTGCAACCATGTTGAAGCTTAAGTTTTGGCAGGGTCTGATTTGGTTCTCACCCAGTGTGAAAACTTTTCATGTTTTTCTACATATTTCGTTTTTGTTCCATTTGGTCTTTTATCCAAAATCTGGACTTTGTACAGGATTTTTCTTACAAGAAAACAAAGTCATGACACTAAAACTGAACCACAGTCAACATAAAGTAATTTTCTTTGTACTGTTTCATTCACAGTACTTCCCCAGGCTGTGTTATTTTTTACAAATTCAAAGTAACAAAAAGCTTCTTGATTCATCCCTTCATATATCAGATCACAATGGTGTGTGTGTGTACATTTATTAATTCAGAGGGCTATTATTCACTTTGACAGGGGTCCTAAATAAAGGACCCCTGGCTTGTCACACAGTTGGTTGTCAATAAAAACAAACAAATCAAGACTCACAGTGTGTCAGACCTCTGAAACAGAGCGAATTACTAAGTAAGGTATTGACAGAGTTACAAGGAAAAAAATTCTGACGTCACATTGTACATATAATATTTTATTCACCCCACCAAATGTGTTTTTCGAAAGACCAATCACGAGGGTCAGGTGAGTAAAGGTTGACAAGACATTTCTTTGATTGTAAGCTCAGTTTGAGTACATGTACCTCAGATTGTACAAAGAGTTTGTTCATTAAAAACAAGTTGGGCCCAACAGTTGTTTTACAAAAGTACACCAGGTTACAGGTCATGTAGCTTAAGCTGTTATCACAATGATGATCTTATGACCTTCTCATCAAGCACAACCAAAACAACCTCTCAGGTAAGCCCTACATCATGTACACCTAATTTTCACGGAAAGCCACCTGCTGTCACACAGAACTTCATGAAAAAAAATGATGAAAAGCACAACTGAACGTACATGTAAGCAGGCAAAACAAAGCAAGGGCTGAAACAAGAAAAAGTATACCTGTCAAAAAGAAGTTTGGCAGAGGTTCGAAAGTTTCAGGTGACATGAAATGGAAAAGAAGTCTACTAATATTGCCACAAAAAGTGATAAAATTTGTCTGAATCAACGTAAAAATATCTGCAGTTGATAATTCTTAACAATTACGGACAATTCACACCAAAATCCATAAAGCTGGTCAAGTAATTACGACAGCAAACTGGCCAACAATGTCCGCATTTCACATGTAACTTGCACTTGATGCATCCCGCATGTCCAGAGCAGAGGGCTGGCAGGCAATGAAGCTCGTGCAGCAGCAGGAAATTTTGTGGAAATTCTTGCTTTACATGAGCAATACAACCTCGAATTCATTCACGGACACGGAAAATATTAAATACGTGGACAAAGGATCAAGTTCTGTGAAAGTTCTAGAAATCTTCTTGCAACATCAATGTTTACATTTTTCAATGTTGCCAGATCTCACGCATTTTTCCAACACGTACGTGTACATGGCAGAGAGCGGCAGCATGTGCAGTCTGCATCCTGACTCACGACGTGCAATTTGATAGAAAAAAAGATACGGAGCCAAACTATCGACTAGAACAGAATAGAGGGCACTATGAAAATCATAAATGAAACGAAGTCGGGTGCCAGCTCATGTGACAGTTTCCTCTCATACACCGGCACAGAACCGCATGGAAGTACGATTGTATGAGTTTCTGCCTAGCAGCCTAGCGGCCGCAATCAAAGGTGCCAGCAAGTGGTGAAAGTGCGGACAAAGCCTAAGGTGGAACTTTCTGTTGTCCGAGTTTTAAAAAACATGGAAATCCACTGGTCCGCAGAAGAGTTGCATGCCTGCATGACACTGCATTTTAGCGGACAATACTGTGCTGTAGGGCACATCGATAAAAATATTTGGACACTGGACCTAATGACTCAAGCATGATTTCTTGACATCTTACCAGGGACATGTTCTTCTCATGAAACAAACTGTAGCTTTCTTGGACAGTCTCAGAGATGTGATGAATGATGCTAGTCTTTTGGAAGACCTCACTGTGAGTGTCCTAATTGAATGGAGAATACACAAGAAAAACTTTTTAACAAGAAGAAAACTACATACCACATATCATTTAGGGTGAAGACAAAATATCATATCTTTTAAAGAACAGACCTCACATCAACCATTAAAAACGGAATGAAAACATCAAATTCTGAAAATATTGGGTATTTTCCAGGTTAAACTCTGCCCTGACGAAAAAACAAAAGTTTTCAAAAATGTTATTACTTATCTTGACGTTGGTTTCCTTACTTGACTATCTGAGATATGAGATGGGAAATTATCCGTCTTCAGGTTATTCTCCTTACAGAACTCTCGAACAGCTTCAATGAACCTCAGTCCAAACTTATCTGCTCTTGCCTCTGCTATGCCATCAATCTTCAGCAAGGACTGCTTTGTGCTTGGCCTGTGATGGTACAATATCAGACATGGTGCACATTCCACTAAGTAAGGTGACCACTTTAATACAAGTTCAGATTTTTTTAAAGACAAATTTTAGAGGGCAGGGGAAGAAAGGATTTTTTATTGTCTCAAGAAAAACAAATGGGTCTTCAAGTCCGGTAGAAGAACATAAAAAAATTTCCAAGAACAAAAAAAGGTATACCTTATCACTGCACTAACCACTGAAGACTAAAGCTGACAAATTTGGAATTGAGGACTTTGCCCTTGGTCAGAGAGTGGGGCCAAAAATATTTTTTTTACATTTACAGACCTCCCTACATTGGCTATCATGAATTCAGAATCCTTCTCCACAAAATTCTGATTTCTTCATGAAAAATTGGAATACTCTCCATATCAGGCTACCATGAACAAGTAAAAATCAGCGCTGCATTGTATAAGAGTCGAGTCTGTGTCCATAATGATGTACAGTACCGCACATACATGTACTCACCAATTCCATCAAATTTTGGTTACCACAAGAGTTTACATCATCTGAAATGGTCCGCAATCATTTTTCATCGACTGAATGTGTTGATTCACTGCAAAACTCAACAAAACCTTCATGGCGTGTTCCTTGCACACTTGACATGATTGCGGACAATTTCACAGCAGTGCTTAGTCTTAGATCCAAACATTCTTAGCTGCGGTTCCCAGCAAAACTGGGCGCCGCACGATGCATACAATGTACAAAGGATTTTGGTATCACGTCCACATATCACGTCCATGTCACGGGTCATACGTGTCAAAAGAAAGCACTGCCAGGGACATGGCTGACACAACGTGCACTGCACTGACTATTTGGGTAGGTTGAATAAGTCATATGACGGTATGTGCACAAGATTACATGGTCAGTTTTACATGTACATAGGTGTGTCAAAATTGAAATTTGGCAGAAATTTTAGGGGCAAAATTGGAATGGCGGAAACAAAGTGAAAAGGGGAAATTTTCTGTCAAAATCAGGAGGGTTGGGAAGTCTGTATTTATATTAGTAAACTGTTGGTTAGGGTATCTGAGACTTCTCAAAATGAAAAAATTATTTCTAAATCCAAAAGGTTGGCGGATCCAAGCACCAACTCTGAAAAAAAAAAAAACAACTCTGGCCCAAGTATGGTTGGAGGATTGGGAGGTTTTTCAACCCTGGGCTCCATTGTTAGTTTCGGCTACAGGCTTTAATCTGTTCAGTTTAAACACACTTATTCAACACAGCTCCACTGCAATAGAAGTTTCAATATGTTAATCTAAAACTAAGTCCTTGAGTACTTTCATTACATTCCAACTGCAAATATTTGAACAATATTCTGAAGCCTGACCTTGCCAGTAAACCGGATGTACGCTTCCCTGAGCTGCTTTTACCGACTTGCACTGTCTGCACTGGACTTTTTTTTGTCTCGGGAATTCTTCCTGGCTAGAAGTTGGCCGGTAAAAATTCCCGTGTGGCTCAGGAAAACTAACCGAGAGGAAGTCTACCGGGGACATCTGCACTGGACTTAAAATGGGCAAAGTACCCATTATCTCGTTAAGTTCGCCCAAAAAAGTCCAGTGCAAACAGGGCTTAAGTGAATCCGGCCTAAGAATACATGTAACTTTCATGACTAGTAACTTGGCTTTTGTGGTTCAAGAGTTAAACACTTGTGACACTGATGAATACAAGAAGAATGATGAATAAAGAAATGAACAAAGACAACATTTCTAATGTTTTTATATGATTAGACAGATACACAAACACCCTGACAGACTGCTGCTCTGCTTTACCTGATAATAGCGAGATCATGAAGGTTCTTGTTGTTGGCAACCATGTACGGTGCTGCACCTATTTCAGATGCAAGGCTGTTTCTTAGATTCATCAGCTTAGAATACAGGACACCCTGAACACAAAATAAGCATACAAAGAGTAGATTCAATCAGTATGAAATCAAATTTTAACATCATAACACTGGGAAGTTACTACTGTATACAATATACATGTACATGTATATATCAAACTAGCTAACATGCTGGGCCCAGAGGTAACACCAACTAACACAGACAGGCAAACTGACAGACCAAATGAGATGTAAAATGACATATCTTGTCACAGAAACTGTCAGTGACCAACCCCCAGTTGGTGTTCCTTGGGGTCAAACCTCTAAATGGGAAGCGTGCATGCTGGGCCCATGGAAATAGCATCCGGGCTAGGGCGGTAGTTTAATTTTATGATTAATCACAGAGGTGAGACCTGGGGAAATATAAGGCTGCAGCCCCAATAAGCCAAGGCCAGCCATATTGAAACTGCTCTTTATCTTCATGTATGCTTCCTTCTTCAACTTTGTTTGGCTTATTGTTCAGGGACATACATGAACATTGAACGCCTGCAAGTTTTTGTGATGGAAACAAGACATATGATAGAATTATTTTATAATCCAGTGATCTTATGTAATAAAATATGCAGTAGCCTTCTTTGAGCGGTGACAACTTTTTTATTTCTTCTTCTTGTTAACAAAATCATAATATTCTTGGCTGGGTTTTTACAAGAATGTGAAACCCATAAAGGCGAAGCTAACGCTGAACTAATGGCCATCCTGGTGGTTATTAGCTTGCAAAGGTTTTTTGATGCTAGATTCCCGAACTTAAAAATCTGGTTCACACTGTGATTTTATTCTGTCCTAGCAATTTATTACATAACCAAATGACATTCAAATAGTGTAGAATTCAGTAGGGTTTAATGGTGTCGATAAATATTAGTTTATGACTATCAAAGATCAGTGCTGGCTTCTGAGAACATTAAATGACCATGTTGCATAAAAATGACTTAATATCACTTTTACAAATACTTTTGCATTTTTGGCTACATCATGCATGTCATTACTAACATCATGTATGTCATTACTAACAACCTTTGTAAGTATGTGGGGTATATCTTCAGAAAAACCCCTACAAGAAATACTTTCAACAGTTTATGTAGCACTCTGTGTTGGTAACACGCGGTGCAGCGTCTCTATGTAAGACTACGGCATTCACAATGTAGCTACAGTTCTTTACCGCTGCCTGTTTTTATCAAAATTTGAAGCTGTAGTCGAAGGAGACTGGACCAGAAAATGGCTACCCCTGTCTTGTGCCACAGCATGCACTCCTGTGTGTTAACTAGATTGATTCACCGCCAGTGCTGGGTGAACATATGTGGTTTACCTAGGGACATCCGAAAACAGTGCTCTTACATGGCACAGCACGTATATGTGCCTTACAGCATTTTTTTAACCACTTTAGTGAAAACAGCTGAATTACATTTTGGGCATTTGAATTCTAAATTACAGTCCCAGCCGGAGCTGTTCCCACATTTTTATAGTCTTGATACAATGCAAAAGAAAGGGGGAAAGCCAAGTTGGCTCCAATTCCTTCTGCATCTGCGGTATGTGGAGGTATTTTACATTAATAGAAACCCTAAAATGCTTTGAATTCGCCCGGTTCAAGAACAAAAATGGATTCAAAAGTCATCTTCATTCTTAAGAACAAGCATTTTGTGCAATTTGAAGACTTCCTGAGATCATGAGCTTTGGGGTGAGTGGTAGATGAGCTCTCTGTCATGAAAATTGAGGGCGAATCATTGATTTTGCTAACACGACTTCTAAGTCACTTGAATTTGCTACAGTGAAGTGGTAAGGCAATAATAAAAACACCAAATTTTGTACAGAAATGGGCTAATAGAAAATGAATAACACTGGATACTGAGACACAAGTTGTAGATCTGGTCTGGAAGGACTGCGGCAAGCATCATCAGAAAAGTAAATTAGTCCATTGAGACTCAAACTGTCTCAAATTACTTTGATATATGTCTACACCCATAGTGAACGTCAGTGTGGCAGTGTTGTTAATTACTTTCCTACCAGTACAAGTACTAGTGCTTTTCCACCAGTTCAAATATGAGAGTATGAGTAAATTTACATGAGTCTGAAAATCCAATGTACTTTGCCCCCTTACCCTACCAAACAACTGCAAATTTTTCAATTATGTTTCAGGATTTCATATGTTGCTATTTAACATACATTGATCTAGGTATTCCATGTATACAGTAATCATGAGTTTGATGAAACATAATTAAGTTGAAATGAATCATTATTTGGATAACCCTTTTTTAATAAAAGAAAACACCACTGACTAGTACAAGTTATTTCATTTTAAGTTTAATATGCATTTATCTCAATTTAGATAATTTACATTTCGTGAACATCTTGTCAACGTATTTGACTGGGCATTTTTCTAAGGGATTATATGTACTAATACAGTAGTGTGTGAAACAACTCTTTCAAAATACTCCCATTGCAACTTGAATCACTCTCCTGGACTGAAATTTCGACCGAATGTCCCTTATATGAAACACTTCAATTTGCGACGATTCTTACACATTAAACATTTCTCCTTTTTGAGTAATTTCCAAATATCAGTTTCATGAAATCCTTGAGACCTATACACCTTTAGAAATTCCTTGTGGAGACCTATTCAACCCATTCTCCTAGGTCTCCACAAGGCTCCATATTGTGAAACTGGAGAACAAAGCCACGTCTTCACAAGGATACAAATTTCAGAATGTGTGTGCTTGGCTGTCTTAAACACTACAGACTTATAAGAATGGATGTGACTAAAGCCAATTCACAGGTGAGGGCATCGGTGTCCATTCTCCTGAGTGTTTTTCAACATTGGTCTCCATGAATTGAAAATTAGGCTGAAATGCAATAGGCTTGTTGGATTATCAGAAACAATACACAAGCCATACTAGAGGCTTCTAGGTGAAGTTTGTCTCGAGTTATTACACTGACGCAAAGAATATTCTGGGTACATACACACACCTATGGGAGGACAAGGTGGAAACAATAAGCCAAAAGGGCATAAAAATTCCATATTTCCAACAATTTTTGGCTTTTTTGCAATTTTGTGAAAAAGACATTACTTTTCTTCTTTTTGGGGGCTTTTTGTTCAGCAATATTCAAATGTCATCAAAGTTACACCAAGGAAAGACCTCAAAGCAAAGATAATACTAAAATAATTACGTCATGATGATGCCATAAAGTGATTTATTATTAAAGTTTTACTATTTAAGTATTATGTTAATGTTGTTAAAATCTATAAAAAATCAACCAAGCCTCCCGCAATATTCTGTTTCAAGCAAGTGGCAGAGTATAATTTGGTTTTCAATTCATCTTGTGTTGGTCAAATCGTGTGACCCTTCCTTCCGGTTGAAACCGGAAGTGGCCTTATGGTTTAAAAGTGGTAATAGGTATCAAGTTGTTTTCAACGGTGTTAGTCTGTTGGGGTAAAGTATTCTTCAAATTATCTACTAATGACATCACGTAGTTGTCACATGCCCTCTAGTAACAGGTTAGAATTGTGCAAAGTGAATTTTGAACAGATGTCTGTGGCAAAGTTTGTCTGAATCACCTGGAAATTCATGTAGATGATGATCTTTACCCAGTTAACATGTGGGAAATTTGGGGCCGATAACGTCATCAGATCAGAAGTTATGATTAAAAAGTCGTTTTCTGCTTAAAAATTCGGTAACAAATAAATCGTAACAGATTTAAGCACAAATTGTTCATTTAATGATAGCTAAGACATTGAAGTCAACTGCATGAAGTGTAAGTGGGGTACTTCTTCACATACTTCTTCACATAGGTGAAGCGCCGACGATGAAAACCCCCTTAAAATATTTTGGCAACTCGAAAATCCCATTCGCATACTGTGCATTGGCAATTGTGTGTGACGATGCACAATGCCTGTAACATAGGCAGCGCACAGCGCGTAGGTTTATACTTACAAGTTGGAAAATTACCAAGCACATGGTGCTGAGAGCAGATTGCATTGTATGGAACGCCAAAAGAGGCAAATGTTTAAAATCTCTGTGTTCTTTCCGTGATAACAATAATGCTTTATATTGTATCTGGAATTGTACATTTTTGATTGGGTTGAAAGCTTGCAGATGGTTAGAAAGGGAAGGTTTATAAACAAAGATTGACCTCATGTGATGATAAAATCATCAGTCGATGAGTCACATGACATTAACGGTGCATACTTTAAAGAACTGTAACGCAACGCAGTGTATGGTAGCCTGGTAGAATCTATTATGTCCAAACTGATGAGCAATTCCGTGGTTTGTGCTGCTCCAGGCTAGTTCCTAGCCGTTTGACGCATGTTGGTTGCATTCTGGGTGGAGCGCCAGACTGCAACAGCATAGGGTATATAAGGCCACGACTGCGTGGCCACCGGGCCTCTTGCCCGATCAGGCTCTAAGCGAGGTAGGACATTGATTGTTACCGCTGAAATCAGATTGCCTATATCACCAATTGACATTACTAGAGAGGGAAATTGTGAATGTAATTAGTAAATCAAATGGGATATCTGATCCAACAGCTAGTCCCCGAATAACCAATTATTGCATATGTTAAGCAGATAATTGTGATGGAACTAGTGAGCAGGTTCGTAGATAGGTGTTCGCACGTAGAGGAGTCGAGACAAGAAGACCAAGATTAAACCAGTGTCTCCTGAATATCAGTGTCTGTTGCCCCTTTGCTTTCTGTGCCGCCTGGCGGTAGACTGCCGCCAAAACGGATGCGCTTCCCTGGCCTGCCCAGCTAGACCACTTGCTGTCGTGGGTTGGGAGCTCATCCCGGTGCAGTCCTAGAGACGAAACCGCCACAGATGGTGTCAGAAGTTAGATAGGCGCCACAACTACTGTACATCACAATGCACACTACTACAAGAATATGCCTATGCCTACAAGATTACCTTTTTAGGCGAATGCTGATGGGGAATAGTTATGTGCATCATGATTGCCTCTGAATAGACAAGTCTGGAAGACGAGCTAATGCTGTTGCGTGTCGATGTGCCGAAGGTGAAA